TCGAGTCCCAGCTGCAGCGCGAGATGCCGCTGCTGGCCTGTCTTGTCTGCGGGGCAACGGGCGCGGCGAGGAGCTCGTCGTTTGCCCGTGCCTGCGGTGAGCCCGGTGCCAAGGGCAAGCTGGCGATTGCCCGCCTGGCACAGGGTTTCGCGCCAGGCGCAGCTGGCCGCGTGGCCATCAAGATCGTGCAGCTCGGCGACCACGGCTTCGAGGACGGCGACTCGGTCGTCGACGGCGACGTCCTCGTGGGGCCGCGGCCCTGAGGCGCGCGCGGGGGGAGGTTGCACCACATCCCCGCGCGCGCCCTCGGTGTGGCGAGCTGCTGTCGTCGCGGTCGGCCTCGGCATCCGCGAGCGGGTCTTCTGACCCAGGCCCGAGCGCGTGGGGCGCGCTCGGGCGCCAGCGCGGCCGTGCGCCCGCGCTGATGCGCGCGCATCCTCCTCCTCCTCCTCCTCCTCCGCCCTCCGCCCTCCTCCTCTGCCTCCGCCTCCGCCTCCTGCTCCTCCTCCTCCTCCTCCTCCTCCTCCCTCCTCCTCCTCCTCCTCCTCCTTCTCCTCCTTCTCCTTCTCCTCCTGTTCCTCGTCCTCCTCCCTCCTCCTCCGCCCTCCGCCCTCCGCCCTCCGCCCTCCTCCTCCTCCTCCTCCTCCTCCCCCTCCTCCTCTCCCTCCCACCCCCGAGAGGGGCGGCGAGCACCGCGGAGTCCACACGACGGCTTCGGGCGCTGCCGCGGCCGCGGCGCGAGCCTCGATTCCCGCTGCTGCAGCTGCTGCATCGATCCTCGATTCTCGATCCTCGATCCTCGGCGCTGCTCCTATCAACATCGTAAGCTGCTTCCCTCCCCAGGGTGGCCGCAGCCCCCCCGTCCGCGCCGCCCCGGGGGCGGCGGCGACGCCGCGGGGGCCAGGCTCCGCGCGGCCGCCGCGGCGGCCGCCGCGGCGATCGCCGTGGCCACCGTCGTGGTGCTGTTCGTCCCGTTGAGGTCGTCCGCGCCGCCGTCCAGGGTGGTCCCAGAGGCGACGACACCTCTCCTAGTCTCGAGCTTTCTCATCCTGCAGCCTTCCATGGTTTCTCTCATCTCGGCCGTCGCCGTGGGGTGAGCCTCCGTGTCCAGCGGCGGCACCACGACGATGAATGGCATTTGCTTTTGCTTCGCCTTAGCGGCCACCAGCAAGTCTATCGTGAGCCACCACGCGTCGTTGTCTGTGGTGATCCGCTTCTGGGCAGCTGCGCCAAGTCGAGGTCGCCCCCAAGGGTAATCAGTAATTCTGTATGCGCTCGCTGCCGCGTCTGGCGTCGCCGTCCATGTTGAGGAGGGGGGCCTGATCACCAGCGCGGAGACCGCGTCGATGGTCTCGCACCATGCGCCGCTCCCCATCGATTGACTGTCCGAGCCTCAGGTCCAAATCTTCTCGATCAGTGTGCATCACGCCAGCGTTGCTTGTCTCGGCGTCGTTCTTAATGGCCTTGTTCGGCCGCTCGTCGGCGCTCGTGCTGGTATATGCTCCAGATCGTCCTATCGCGGCTGCAGCCGCGTTTCGTATAAGAGGAGGTGGTGGGAGCACTTGCAGGGGGCCTCGTTGCCCATGGTGCCGGTCGGTTTTGTGCGGTAGCGATAGTTGGCGGTTCGGCCTTCTCAATTTGCCGCGGCACCCCTCTTTGCTCTTCGATCCTTGCCTTCTTTGCTGGCGGCAGTGCCTTGTCCTCCCGCCAGCCCTTGGCATTCAGCTGATTGATTTCCTTCGCGTCCTGTGTCTTGAGCTCCTCGACCTCCTTGATGTTCATGGGCTCGACCTCCTACAGGTAGTAGCCCATGCACCCTGCGTCTCGATGTCGCAGATGTCTTGCAGCATTCATAGGTCGAGCTTCTCGCGAAGTGCTGTGGGTCCTCGGCGGGGAGGTGCTCCTTAGTCCTGTGGCGCTTCCATGATGCTGCGGAGGTAAGGCAGTAGCCGCAATCGTAGCAGATGAAGTCCGTCCTCCTGCCAGGCTGGCTTGCGTTGTTCGCGTCGACATTGTCGTGGTCGTCGTTCCTCACTGTCTCCTCCAGGTCTTTAGCCTGCAGGACTCTGTCCACCACCTCTTGTAAGCCTCCCGCGCCTTTCTCGCAACTTCTGCCATGATCTTGGGGTTCCTTCTGCACCTTTGGCGCCATGCCTTGTAATCGTTCGAGTGCTCGGGCATGCTGTTGGTCCTGTTGTGCGTGGTCGACCACTCGAGCGACTTCTGCAACGGCGTGCCACCCGTCGTTCACCTGGGCACCGTAGTCCAGCGGTCTCCCCAGGCTCGTGGGCGCCTCGTGGACGACGGCACCGACGTACCGAAGGCGCCTCGCGAAAACCGTAGCTGACAGGTCTGCTCGCTCTGTGTCGATCTACACCTTTCCATCGGTTGCTGTCGTCCTTTCTCCTGATCGCAGCCCGCTCCAGCTGCCGCTCTGCATCCCTTCGCGTGGGCGGTGCCGATCTTCTTGATGTCCGTCGAGGTGAGGTCATAACACTGCCTCGTAGGGCAGCTTGGAGTTCGTTCGTCAGCAACCCCACCTACTTAGCGGCGCGCCCTGGGGACAAGTGGACTTGTCCAAAGATTGCGCGCTGCACGGGTGCGAGTGCCTGTCGCTGGTCGTGTACTCGATGCTCCACCTCGGGTCCCCAGGAAGCGTCGGCGGTGATGTCTTGGCATCGCTCGGACGTGTGCATCTTTCCTTCGGCGAGGACCATCGAGGAGCATCCTTGATTATTTGGCGAAAAACACGCGCGAAACCGAAAAAAACACAGGGAATGGACGTCCGAGCGATGGGCAGATGTATGTGCCCATGTGTTGGTGTTCCTTGGTGGCGTCGATCGCGATGTCGTGGGCGGCTGTTGTGATCTTCGCCTGGGCGCTGTCGACGTGCTCGCGTATCTTTCTTGCAGCTCGTCCACATGCAGCTTTGACCGCTGCCGTCTTGTTCTTTCCAAAGTTGAGCTGCATCCCGTGTATCGCGAAGGATTCGAAGACGATGCCACCGACACGCTGAGTCCTCTCGATCGTTGCCGTCATGCCCTCCGATATTGTGGTGAAGATTGTGTCGGCCGCGTAAGTGATGTCCTTCATGCTGTCCTGGTATCCACGTCGGAGTACGTCCTGCTGCTCAGATCTGGTATGGATTCGCTGATGTCAATCGTCAATTGGTCGCTGGCCATCCTCTCCGCAACCATCCGAAGGGGCTTCGTAAAGGCTAGGTTGAAGAGGAGGTCCGCCTGCGGCGCCCTAGGACGGGTACCTATGCGGGAAATATTGTCTTTGGGGCCTCCGACGCCGCGTTGTTCATCTGAAGCCAGGGTAGGCGATGCGCTTCGGTAACATGAGCTCGCAGGTGGTCGTCGTCACAGGTTAAGTCGATAATGCCTGGTTGTGATATACTTCCCGTAGCATCGGCCTTAGCGTTTCTGGTATGACCGCTTCCCTACAGCTCCTGGATGTCGCCCTCGTGCTGCGGGGCGGAGACCACCAGCTGCAGCACGGAGGTCCATTAACAGCTCATCAGTGTAGCCTTGCGTCGCCTGCCTCCTCCTCCTCCTCCTCGCCCAGCGCGTTCCCCATGGAATGGGCACGCGAGAGGGCCAACATCCGCTTCCCCAGCACTGGTAGTGAGCCTCTCTTACGGGGGCCGCTTCGGAGCTCGCCCCTTAGGACAACGGGGTGCGCCCCCTGCCAGCCCCATGAGAAGTCTGGGTCTGCGGCAAACAAATACTTTCTGGAATTTTTGCAAACTTTACTTACAGCTCCTTTGCGGGCGTTTCGACGCTGACCCCTTTTTATGCGGATGTCGTGTCCTGTCCTTTCCTCCACCTCCTCCTCCTCCTCCTCCTCCTCCTCCTCCTCCTCCTCCTCCTCCTCCTCCTCCTCCTCCTCCCTCCCCCCGCAGGAGAGGGCGACACCGTCGGGTGCGGGGTGCTCAGCGTGCCGCGGGCCTGCGGCGGCGGCGCGGAGGCCGGCGCCGAGGGCGCGGCCGGGCGCCGCCTCGGGGACTGGAAGCAGGCCTCGAGGAGCACTGGTGGGCCCGTTTACCACCACCACCATAAGTTTGGGGAGCAGGGGGCCCTCCTCCTCCTCCTCCTCCTCCTCCTCCTCCTCCTCCTCCTCCTCCTCCTCCTCCTCCTCTCTCCTCCTCCTCCTCCTTCTCCTCCTCCTCCTCCTCCTCCTCCTCCTCCTCCTCCTCCTCTCCCTCCTCCTCCTCCTCCTCCTCTTCGTCCTCCTCCTCCTCCTCGTTCTCCTCCTCCTTCCCCCTCCAGCTCTGTGGCGGTGGTGGTGGAAGACAGAAGGCGCACATCCCCAAACATCGGGCGTCTCGAAAAAACAGGCGGAGGCTTTTTGCCGCTTTTGGCCTCTCGGAGCCCTCAGCGGGCCTCGGGGTCGTCAGAGACGACGTCGGGGCGGAAAACCGGCCCCGGGGAAGTGGTCGGGAGGCCGGGGGGCCGTGTCTCGAAAAAATCGGGACGTTGGATGTTTGTGTCTCGGCCTCCCAGACGGGGTCCGAGTAGATGGGGTCGAAGGATCGCGCCGCATCGACGATGCATCGACAATGCGTCTCGATGTGGAGACCGTGTTTCCCCACGCCGACGTCTCCGATGCATCGCCGACGTTGCTAGTGCATGGCCGATGCATCGCCGATGTCTCGGCGATGCGGCGAGATCCTCTGACCCATCTATCCGGACCTCATCTGGGAGGCCTCTGATCAGTGGGGGCGCGCATCAAGAGACTGGATGATTCTCGTCGGGGTGCCCTGGGTATCTTCGCTACGCGCGCTGTGCGGTGCCTTCTGTGGCCGTGGAAGGGGCTGTTGCGTTTTCAGAGTGCTCTGGTGTTGCAGGGCCCCCCCACCAGCACCTCGCGCCTGCGGTGTTCAGGGCTGGGTTTCTTGCGAGGGTTTCTTGCGGTTGCGCCCGCATTGCAATTTAAACATTGACTTTCTCGAGCCCATGACTCCAGTGCATTGAAAAAACAGGGCGGAGGTTGTTGTTGTTGTTCCGTTCTCGGCCCTTGGGGGTTCTCCCCAGTCGCCAGGGCCGTCGACACAAACAGCTCGAGATGAAAAGCCAGCCGCAGGGAATGGGATTAGGTCACGGCGTCGTTTGCTGCCCCAGGTCTTGTCAATCCAGGGCTCGGGGGCATAGTTCGAAGCATGAAAACTGCAAACTGCATACATACATGTTCGGAGTTCCGCGTTGATTCATTGGATGTGCGCTGGGCCACCCCCCAGTCGGCGCCTCCAGCGACTTCCCTGGCGCCGGAGGCGCGACAGGGAGTGTCGATCGGGGAAGTCCGCGCAGAGCTCGGAACATTTATGTGTATACTGTATACTGTTTCGTTCTCAGTCTGAGGTCTCGCGAAAGGTGTTCTTCACCATAAACGGGCAGCTGGTCGGTATGCCCTTCACCATCGACGACGTCCCTGCTGACGTCCCGCTGTGGCCGTGCGTCGGCCTTGACGCGCCATGGGTGCTCTCGTTCAACTTCGGGCAGCGGCCGTTCCACTTCGATTTGGACGCCATCGCGGGCCCAGTGTGGCTGTCGCTGGACACGCCCTTCGAGACGGCGGAGGACTCGGCAGAAGTCCAACGACGACGGCGACGACGACGGCGACGACGACGACCGACGTCCTCCACCGCGCGATTTGCCTGGGCCCCTTCCTGGCCACTAGGGAGCCAGGAACAGTTAGAAACGAGCACACTTAGAAATGAGCACGATTAGGAATGAACGACGTGTGCTCGCACGGATGGGGTCGTCGGCGGACGACTTGAATGCATCGCACAGCTTTGGCGTTTGCTGTGCCACGCAAGTGAACTTGCCTCAACTTCTACAGAAACGCGCTTCTGGGAGGAGCCAAGGCGTCCAGCAAAATCGTGCTGACGGCGACAGCGACAGCAGGAATCGCCTGCTCGGGCGGGGCAGCCTCCCTTTCCTGGGGGCCCGACGCCAGGACCCCGAGTCGGCGCGCGTGTCCGTCCGTCGCTCCTGTCCTCGCCCTCCGCCGTCGGTCCAGAAGCGGGCGGAGAGAGGGCGTGGGCGGTAAAGCCACCTGACATCATCATCATCCTCCTCCTCCTGCACCTCCTCCTCATCCTCCTCCTCCTCCTGCTCCTCCTCCTCCTCCTCCATCTCCTCCTCCTCCATCTCCTCCTCCTCCTCCTCTGCCTCCGCCTCCTCCTCCTCCTCGAAGGACAAGGATGATCGGCGGGCGGCGAGCCCAGGGGGGCAAGCGAGAAGGAGCAGAGGTCCTCGTAGATGGCGGGTCTTCTCTCAGTATTATCCGACCCCCGTCCTCGGGGGCGGACAGAACCCCCAACAGTGACACGTCGATTAGTGAATTGTCCGTTTTCGGTTCTCGAGAGGGCGCCGTGGCTGTTATTTTCCAGGCTTGCTCCCGCTAGGTTTGGGCCTCAGGTCGTTTCACTAAACCACGTTTTACTAAAGGGGGTCTGTCCATCCCCGACATCCCCATCCCCATCCCCTTCGAGACCCCCACCAAACTACCCCCCCGAGTTGGGGATACGCCCCTCGAAACCCGAAGGGAACGACCTATATCCCCATCGAGGGGGGGGTAATCGGCCAGTGGGGCCCACGCCACGCAGCTGGGGATGGGGATCGGTTGAACGATACTCATGCTCAGAAGCCCTCGCGCCTTCTGAGAAGTTTTCTGTGCCTTCGGGGAGAGCTTCGAAGACTGTTCTGAAGGCCCGAGGCCTTCTGAGCCTGCTGCAAAGACCCGCCACTTTTTTCACTTCCCTGGGGGCGCCACCCAGACAAGAATCGGCATAAACATAAATGTTCGGATGTCCACGCGGATCTCTTAGATCAGCGTTGGACACTCTTGGCGGTGCCAGTGGCGCGCTCCGCGCGCCAGAGAGGGCGGTCCAGCCCCGATCCAAGACGTCCGCGCGGACCTCCGAAAGTTCACGCTCACGCAGTTGAGTTGCTCATCTAGGAAACCTCAGGGCCGCTTTTTGTCATTAAACAATGGAAACGGCAACAAAGACGGCGACCGGAAACGGCAAGCAAACGGCTCCAGGATTGGAACCGGGGCCGGAACCAGTAACGAAAACGGCGACGGAACCGGTAACAAATCGGCGTCGGAACCGGCAAAGCAACCCGTCAAAAGACGGTCTTGCCGTTTCCAGAGCCCACGTAAGCGAGGCCCGCGCTGGGTTCGGGAGGGGCCTGGTGCCCGGGCCGTCCTTCAATACAGTGGGGGCGCGTGCCAAGAAACCAATTGGATTTTGCCAGGGTGCCCTGGGTTTCTTGGACTTCGATGGGCCCCCAATAAGATCTTGATGAATTCGATCGACAACTTTGGATTTTCATGGAACAAATCGCGGATTTCAGGGTTGGGCTTCTTGCAGAGGTTTCTTGTGGCCGAGCCCCCGCTGTAGACCCAGGTCGGGGAGAGAGCCTGCCCGTGGCCCCGCGGCTCGCCTGGGCCAGAGAAGCCCCGCCACTTGCTGTGCCGCGTCCCTCGCGGGTGCCCCTGCGCCCTTGCCTCTCGGGCCAGCCTAGCCTGAAGTCGGGCATGTCCCATCACAGGGGGGGTACCCAAGAATAGGCAAACAAAGATGGTCCGGGGACGTTTCGGTTTCCTTGTTGGAGAATTGTCTGTGTATGCTTCGTCCAGAATCCGCCTGGAGTGGGGGACATGCCCTGCCTAATCCTAGCCCTCAGCCACGGGCCATGGGCCACCGAGGGCCTTGCTTCCTGACCGCGCAGCCCAATAATCTCGCCGCACGGCCCCCCCCCCCACAGGACTGGCTGTTCGGGGACCTTGCATCCTCCCCCCTCGGCCCATCCTATCCGATATCCCTCGGCCATAGACTCCCACCCCGAATTCAATGTGGGCTCCCAGGGGCCTTGCATGCTTGCCGCACCCGCATGTTCTGGTTGCACCCCAGACATCCGACAACGTGATTTTGTCACCGCGTGGCTCCTCGCGGATCTGGACCTTCTCGCCAGGGCCGGATTTCTATTCTGGATCGCTTAATAATCGCCCCCCCCCTTGGAGTGCCCGCCGCGGCGCGTCCGCGGGGGTGCAAGGGGGTGGTTCGTTCCCCTCCCCGCTGGGGCGCGGGGTTGGTGCTGGGGGGGGTTGGCCGCGCCGCGTTTTCACGTTTGTCACCCGTTGGTTGATTAATAAGAAGTTCGGAGTATCCTGAGTAGTTTTTGGACCGTCCTGGGGCCCGGCCATGGCCCCCAGAGGCAGAAGACGGCGAGCAGGCACGCGTATTGTTTTTCCCACACGTTGGGGGGCTGCGCGCCGCAGACCCCGAGGACTGGGCGCTCGGGGACCTCTCGGCGGCGCCGCCGCCGCCGGGGATGCCACGCCGCCGGCGACGCCCCGCGGATTTCAGGGGCAACGTTCGCCATTGGGGAAGGGGTCCCAAGGGACACGGGTCCTGAGATTTTCCGTCGTGTTCGGGCTCTCGGGGCCTTTTCACGGGCCCTGTGGGACGGTCAGAAGACTGCTCAAGGTGAAAACTTGTTCTCCTGGGGGGAGACCCGAGGTCCACGGCCCGTTTCCCTCAGGACCCGCTTGCCCCATGCTAAAACGTAGCTTGGCATCGCTCGGACGTGTGCATTTTTTCTCCGCGAGAACCATTGAGGACGATCCTGGACCATCGAGCAACAAAAAAAAACGCACGAAACCGAAAAATGCACGGGAAATGGACGTCCGAGCGATGGCGAGGTAGGGGGGACAGGTCCAGCGGGGGAGGATTCGCCCAGCATCCCCCACTCAGAGGCGATAGGGGCCCGAGAGCCCCACCCCGCCCAGGAAAGCGCGGATCTGCTCTCGGAGGCGCTGTGGCCGATCTGCCGGCGATGCGTCGCCGATTCCAGGTCGATATTCTCCCCTGTGAGCCAGCCGCACCCCCCCCCCTCTTGTCTCGGTGGTTCAGAGATGGGGTCCTGCTGGACGGGATCCTCAGCATGCGGTGCCTCAAACAATGTCAATCAAGCCTCCTTCTATCCTCAAAACCTCATCCCTCAGGACCCCATCTGTGAACCACCGGCCTTACAACTCACCCTCAGGACCCAGACGACGGCGACCCTCGAGACGGGCCGCCCCCCTGGCCCCTCACGGACTCCTCCGGCTCGGAGGCCTCCTCGGAGGCGCATTCGGAGGCGCCGCCGGGCCGTTCACCCCACGCCTTCCGCGGATTGCTCACTGATCGATCGACCGACCCACCGACAGATCGATCGCGTCGGCCGCTTAGTTAGACCGATCGGTCGCATCGTCCCGTCGATCGGTCGATCGGTCGTTGTAGGACGCAATTCCCGAGAGAGAGAGATTCAGCACCGGCGCTGGTATCATTGTAGTCGAACATTGGGTCAGTCTGGCATGATGTTGGTCAATTGGGTTTGACCACGGCCTCGATCCAGCCCACTCTGGCCCAGTGACACCTTACTCGCGTTGCATGGTTAGCCCTTGACCGTTCCTGCGCAGACCACCCAGGACTTGTCTCCTAAGACCGATTCACCGATCCGCCGATCCATGCGTCGATCGCAGGGGGCCCGTCGGAGGCGCACCCGCCCGCCGTGGACTCCTGGGAGGCGCTCGCCTCCGCGGCGCCGCCGTCTGCGCGCGGCAGCAGCGCGCCCCCCGCCGCCGCCAGCGGAGAGGACCGCGCTCTGCGGCGGCGGACGGCGACGGCGCAGACGGCGAGTGCGACGCCCGCTCCGACGCCCCGGAAGCTTCTAGGCGCGAGGGTTCCGGACGCTTCCGTCGGTTCTCGGCGGTCGTCTCGCTTCGGCGGTCGTCTCGCTTCGTCGAGGGCTTTCCGGCGGTGCCCGGATCGTCCCGAGCGGACGTTGGAGGCCCGAGTTATGTGCGGAAAGGTCTTAGGCGTCGAAGCGAGGGCGAGGGCGGAGGCGACGAGGGCGGTGGCGACACCGAGATCGACGGCGACGCCGATCCCGAGACCCGGGCGTCGCAATTTGTTTCGGGCCCCTGGACATTCACAGATCGATCGGGCTCGAAGGATGCAGCGGAATGGAAATGGGTCTATGGCACCAGACGTGATTTTTGACAAAGTTGCTGTTTTTGTTTGCGACATCGGATCTCAGAGGCGTTGGCTGCGGCGACGCTGGCGACGACGACGACGACGTCGACGTCGGCGGCGGCGACGGAGAGGTCGGCGACGGCGACGGAGAGGACGACGACGACGACGACGACGTCGACGACGGCGACGGACGACGACGACGACGACGACGACGACGGCGGCGGGCGGCGGCGGCGGCGGCGAGCGGCGTGGCGGGTGGCTTGGCCCGCCTGGGAAGGACGCGCCCGCGGCGGCTGGCGAGCCGGCGGGGGGCCCCGCGCGGCGGCGGGCGGCCATGCCGCTGGTGTCGAAGGCCACGGAGAGGCCGCGAGTCGCCGTGGGCGCCGCCGTCCCGCCTCCATTCGGTATATGAAGCACGTCTTCCGTTCCGCGCGATGCCCTCCGCCTCCTCCTCGTCCTCCTTCTCCTCCTCCTCCTCCTCCTCCTCCGTCTCCTCCTCCCCCCCTCCTCCTTCTATTCCTTCCCTCTCTTGTGGGAGATTTCCTGTGCCGGGGGTGGACAGACCTCCTACCCTGACACGTCGATTAGCGAATTGGCCGTTTTCGGTTCGCGGGAGGGCGTCGCGGCCGTCGTTTCTGCGGGTCCAGGTCCGTCGGTTTCGGTCCCAGGCCGTTTTTCACCAAAGGGAGGTTTCCTAAAGGGAGTTTTGTCCACCGCCGACTGCGGGGCGGGACACCCAGGGAGCACCAACACTCTTCGGGCCGGGCGGTCGCCGGTTGCAGGGCGCGCGGAACGGGCCGGTTTTTCCTTTCAGATGCCCCAGGAAAGCAACATGTGTCGCGCGGGGAGGCACGAGAGGAGGTTTGAGTCGGGCCTGTCCCCCTGCAGGGGGATCTTCGACGAGAAATAAAAAATGCCACAGAAATAGCCAAACAATAATCCAAACATAGTCCAGGGACTATGTTTTGAGTATGTTTAGACCTTTGGGGGTATTCCTGTTTTTTTATCTTTCGGCGAAAATCCCCCTGTAGGGGGACACGCCCGACCAAAGAGTAGGTGTCGGGCAATGTCCTGCCTCTGCGGTCCCTCGCAGAGGCCTGGGGAAGTCCACGGACCGCTCGGGGCGACAGGCCAGACCCAGGAAGGGGTCCAGGGGCCCGCTGTCGACACGAGTTTGTTCCTCCTGCTCCTCCTCGTCCTCCTGCCCCTCCTCCTCGTCCTCGTCATCCTCGTCCTCCTCCTCCTCATCCTCCTCGTCCTCCTCGTCCTCCAGAATCCTGTTTTTCCTCGTCCTCCTCGTCCTCCCGGCCCTTTCGCTCAGCTTGGAGCTGGGGTCGCGCGGCGCACTTCGGAGGGGCGCCTGCCGCGCGGGGCCATGGCGGCCATCGAGGCATGAGGCTCCACGTGGCGAGCTCATTCTTCGTCGAGGACGGCATTGGCCAGATCATCGGCTGTCTCGAGCAGCAGTACGTGGAGGCGGGAGGCCAGTCAGAGCTCGTCGTGGTCTTCGACTGCGATGGAGTTCGCGGCGTGTCGCAATCGTGCCGCTGGCGCCAGCGAAGGCCAGGCCTCCGGCACCGAGGGCCCGTCGGGTGCCCTGGCAAAGGGCCTTTCGGCCGGAGGACGTGAAGACCTACGAGGCGAAGAGACTGCAGGTGTTCCTGGCCAGGGAGCGCTTCATGGCCGACAAGCTGGCTGGCAAGCACCAGGAGGAGAAAAAGGAGATCTCTGGGGAGGCGGTGCACATCAATATATGGCAGTGCCCAAGCTGTGGAGCGAAGAACTTCGGCTTCAGGGAGAGTTGCATGTACAAGGATTGCAACCACAAGGCGCCCGAGGCCACGCTGCAGCTGCAGAGGCTCCAGAAGCTGCAGGAGGTGAAGGTCCAATCGGACACGTCCTACATGACCCTGGGGGAGCTGGACGCGGCGCTTCGCTCTCGCGGGCTAGCGTGCATGGACGAGGAGTTCGACAGGTTGCAAAAGGAAGCAGCGGCATACGCATGGTCGGAGTGGGGGGCCGATCTCGTGCTCTCCTCGGCGGAGTGCCACCCGAAGGAGATGACGGAGAAAGAGAGCCCCGTGCAGGAGGAGACGGAAAAGGAAAAGCAGCCACCCAAGAAGAAGAACCGTTGGAGCAAGCGCCACACCCCATCAGCCTGAACGTGCAGGTCGACACCGAGGACTACCAGAGCCTGGACAGGACGTTCGCGACATGGCGTCGCGTGGCAGCTGGACCAGGCGAAGATTGGCAGTCAGAAGAGGACGATGGTAGCGCAGCTGTGCACGCAGATGGCGGGGAAGGCGGGGTAAGCGTTCGTCAATCGCACGCTGTGCAGTTTGTCACGGACGTGGGGCAGAAAGACCTCAGGCCGAATCCTGGGGAAGGTGGTGCCACGCCGATCGATAGCGATAGTGGCACGGGCTTGCCGTCGATCCCGAGCTTCCCGCAGCTCGCGATGCCAGAGGTGTTCGACATCGCCGACGGCGACGACGAGGAGTGGGCCGAGAAGGGCGAGGAATGCTCCGTGGCCTGCTCAGACTGGGGGGTCTCTGGCATAGAAGAGTTGCAAGGCTTCGGGAGGTAAACGTGCAGGCCTTGCAGCTGGCCGACGAGCAGCCAGACGACAAGCAGCAAGAGGACAAGCACAATGAGGTCAAGCAGTACGAGGACAGCCAGAAGGAGGACGACTATGGCAGGGGGACCAGTGCGCCCCCACCTCAGCCCATGGGGGCCAGCTCTGCCCAGGTGGAGGAGGACGAGGTCTGCCCCACCGCGGGCGAGGAGTTCCAGGCGCTGGCCGACCTGTACCTCGAGGGCGTCGAGCGCGACGGGAGCGAGCTCAGGGTTCGCTTCCAGACGCTTTGCGAGCGCCTCGGCATCAAGAACGACTTCGAGGCGTTCTTCCAGGTCTTCTGCAACGACCTCGAGGCATAGGAGGTCGCCGACACCTACCAGACGAGCCGCCTCCTGTAGGCGTTTCAGGCCTCCTCGCGATGTGATTCTTGATCTGAGCTGCTGCGCGCCTCGCCGCGGGCGGCGGTGGCGCAGTTAGGCGGTCGTTCGGCTGCTTGGCGTCTCCGCGGTTGGATCCGCTTCGTTTGGTTTTGGTTCTCGGGCCCTGGCGTTCTCTCGTCGTCACGCTGGGCGCCCCTCGAAATCCTGGCCGGGCATCGGCTCAGCTCTCGGCCCCCTCAGTGGGGGCGACCGCCTCGGTAGCAGGGCCAGCTGGATCTGGCCGCATCATCAGCACCCTCAGCACCCCCCTCGCCCCCCCCCCCCCCACCCCACCCCCGCCTCCCACCTCCCCCCGCAGATCTATCGCGCAGGGGCTCAGAAGAGCAGCAGAGACGCCCCGACACTGCCTCCAAGCGCCCTTAATATTTTCACCCCCCCCCCCCTCCCCTTCCACCCTCGACTCTCGAGCTCCCGCTTCGAAGCATTGAGCTTCAGGTGGAGGGGTCTGCCCTCCGGCAATCCCAATGGCCCTTGTTGACCCCAAACGTTACGTTTGAAGTTTCCGTCGTTTTCTTCCGCCTCAGACATCTAATTCCCTTCCCTACTCAATCGAACGACGCAGCGATCATAGCTGAGAGTGAGTTGGAACCTGTTGCCGAATGTTATATGGCTGGCTCATGATCGCGATGCCGTGGGTTTTCTTCCTCACAGCAGCCCCCGGCATGTCGGCCAGGGTGGCCGCCCGATGAGCAGGCGACAAGGGGCGCGCGGCAGACGAGGTGCTCACGGGGCCCCCCCAGACCTCGCGCCCGGGAAAAAGATTTAGCGCGGTGATTGTGCAGGTTTTGCGCAGTATCCACGTGTCGTTGATCCTCACTCGCGCGTCCTGTCACTGGCACGGTTGGGTTTTTGGTACCCTTTCGTGTTACGGTGGGCGCGTCTGCTCGGCGGGAGAAGTTTTGCCTCTTCCTGTCGGGCCTTTTTCCGAGCCATGGCGCGCGCCGCCACGGCGCGCAGCTCAGCCCCACCTTTCAGTGCTGCCCCGCCGCGGACGCTGCGCTCAAGCCGCAGCCTCCCGCAGCCGATGCACCTGGTGGACATGGCATTTTGCTGTTTGCAGTCCCGGTACTCCCGGACTGCTGCTTGGTTGTGCGACGTCGTCACGGCGCCCTGGCAGCGCCCGGTGGTGCGCCCTTGCCTCGGCCCCGGCCACTGCCACGGCCGCCGTTGCCTCGGTCGGCCGTTCGGGCCAGCTGGACGCGGAACACTTGCACGGCTGAGCGTGTTCCCCATCCGCCCCCCCCCCCGCGGCCGATCTCGTCTTTCTTCCTTCTTTTGCACGCTGGCCAAATAGCCGTTCGTTTGCCCCGGATAGCCACGTGCTGGAGCGGACTGCCTCTGCCTCGCCGCCGACCGAACAAAATAGCTTTTTCCAATTGCATGTTCTTTACATATTGACAACCGTCGGTTCGAAGAGGATCGAAGCTTGTTTTTACCGTTCCCTTCGAATCGCGAGCACGGTTGCCGCACTTGTTGTGCAGGACGATCTTGCTTGTCACGACTACGGCGTGGGATGCCCGCGTGGCAGCCCGGCGGAATTGCAAGGTGATTTGGCCTTTGTGGCAGCCGTTTCCGCAGACGAATTGTCGCACGTTTGACAGAGGTGTTTTGCCGGAGGAAGCCGCCCAATTCATTTGGGGAGGCGTTTTGCGATTGTGGCGAGATGTGTTTGTTGTTCCTGTTCCCCCCGCGTGCGTTGGCGACGAAGTAATAAGGCGCTTGAGTCAGTTTGAGGTGATTCTTTGTTGCCTGCCGTTCGTTGCTGCGGTTGTCGCGGAATTGTAAGTCTAAGCGCGCCCGCAAGGCTGCGATGGTCGTGGAGCCCGAACAGTGGTGGGCCCTGTGGAGGCGCGAGCTGCCGTAGGTCTGGAACACCCAGGAACTCCGCAGTGTTGTTCACAGATCGTTATTCCCCAATCAGCGTTTGCACTGAAGGGGTCCTCGCGGATGTTGCTAGAGTTGGCGAAAGCGCCACGCCGATTTATTCCCACGCTGGGTTCCCGGGTTCCCTGTTCCGGGTTCCCGGGCCGATGTTTCACTACCGATCTCATTGTCGAGTTCATTACGGATCTCATTGGTTGCCAGGTTCCCGGTTCGGGGTTCCCGGGTTCTTCATCAGCGGTTCCGGGCCCATGGTTTATTCCTCGATCTCCTTGCTGATCTCATTGTCGAGTTCATTTCGGATCTCATTCAATGTTGAAGATTCGGCGAAATTGCCCCCCGCCGATTTTGGTAGCACGTTGGGTTCCCGGGTTTCCAGTTCCGGGTCCCCGGGTTGTTGGTCATCGGTTCGGGCCGATGGTTAATCATCGATTCGATGACCGATTTCATCATCGAGTTCATTACGGATAACATTGAGTCGCCCTAATGTACTGGTCCCACTACCGATCTCAATATCGACAGATCGTCCCATGCATCGATCTCACCATCGATCGCACGACCTAACGCGAAGCGCTTCCAGATCAGCCAGCCGAAGCGGCAGAAGTCCAAGCGCATGGAGGGCAAGGCGAAGTTCGCCACGAGGTTCGAGGAGCACCTCGAGGCGGGCAAGGCGGCGGTGGAGATCCTGGAGCAAATGTTGGTGGAGTCGAAGGCGGAAGAGGTGATCGGGTCTGCCCCGAGGGAACGCGAGAAGAGGGAGATTTCAGCGATCCTCAACAAGCGCTGAGGACGGGGCTTCCTACTGGGACGATGATTGGTGGTGTGTCTGTTATGGCGAGAACACCGACGTCGGCCCCCCAGATTTCGTATGCTCCTGAGTCGGTGAGTGCGGCATCTTCCAGTGCTCCCTCGGCAAGGCCCCCTTGCTTTCTTGTCTGTTGCTGAGGGGTGGCGCCTTAGTGAGAGGCGCAGCCAACATTTCAGCGGAGGCTGTACGGTTAGGATCCAGCCGGCTGCTGACGAGGGAAGGGGGAGGTGTCGCGGGGGTCGTCGCGGGCGTGGGAATGGGGGGCGAGATGGAGGGAGAGCCCGCGGCCGCGGCTTTCAAGGCAGAGCTTCGAGGTAAGGTTCAGTTTTGTCATGGGATGGTGCCCGAAGAGGCGCCCCGAGGGGCCTTCCCCTCTGTAGAGGTTGCCTTAGGGCCCCGATGGGGGCCTTCCCCCCCAGCTGTCGGGGCCCTGACACCGTCTGTAAGGGTTGTTACGCTGGTGCATGCGCAGGGGCTTAAGCTGATCGAATCGGCTGTGAGTTGACAGATCTTCGTAAGTTTTTATTGCCTCCAGCGGTTCAAGATCAAAAAACATCCTACGACCTATCCATCTCAAAATTTCAAAGAGAGCGTGATCCACCGCCGCTTCACTGTGGAAAATTGCCAACCTTTTCCTCCGGAACCCGGGGGTCCCCCCCCCCCCCCCCCCCTCCGAAAATCCCCCCCCCTGCTGGAACCCCTCCCCCCCCCTCCCCCTTCCCCCGGCAAAACCCCCCCCCCTAACCCTTTCCCCCCCCCCCCCCCCCCCTCCCCTCCCGCTCGAAAACCGGGGGGGGTCACTACCGGTTCGAACCCCCCCCCCCCCCCCCCTCCGGATCCGAAAACCGGGGGGGGTCACTGCCGGTTCGAACCCCCCCCTTCCCCCCCCCCCATTCCCCCCCCCCCTTCCCTTCCCTTCCCCCTCCCCCCCCCCCTCCCCCCCTACTCACCGCCAGCAAACTATTCCTGGTCCCCACCACCGTCCGCATCAGATCCACCACTGGTGTTCCCAGCAGCCACTGTCCTCACCACCGCTGTCCCCGCTGGTTCCACCACCGCCCCTACTGTCCCCACCAGTGGCCCCACCACTGTCGCACTGTCCCCGCTGTCCCCAGAACTGTTCCCACCACGGTTCCACTCTCCCCACTGTCTCCACGGCCCCAACCACTGCCCGACTATCCCCACTGTCCCCACTGTCCCACTGACTCCTCCGCTGTCCCACTGAGCTGTCCCACTGTTCCCACCACTGTCCCCACTGTCCCCACCACTGTCCCCACTGTACCTCTGTCCCATTGTCCCACCGCCGTCCTCGCCACCGCCTTCACCACTGTCCCCACCACCATTGTACCCTCCACTGTCCCACTGTTTCCACCTCATTCCCATTGTCCCCACACCACTGTCCCCACCACCACCGTCACCACCACTGTCCACTGTCCCCCCCTGTTCCCACCATTGTCCCCACCACTGTCCCCACCACTACCGTCCCCACCACTGTCCCACTGTCCCACTGTCCCCACCACTGTCCCGCTATCCCCTCACCACTGTCCCCACCAACACCGTCCCCACCACTGTCCGCACCCCCACTCGGTTTTCGAGGGGGGGGGGGGTTCGAACCGGTAGTGACCCCCCCCGGTTTTCCGGATCCGGAGGGGGGGGGGGGGGGGGGGGCGAACCGGTAGGACCCCCCCCCTTTTCATGATGACGGGGGGGGGGAAGGGTTCGAACCGGTAGTGACCCCCCCCGGTTTTCCGGAGGGGGGGGGGGGGGGGGGTTCGAACCGGTAGTGACCCCCCCCGGTTTTCCGCCAGCAGCGGTAGAACACGCTCTTTCAAATCTCACTATCGTCTCAAAATCGACGTATCGTCCCCGCTATCGATCCCACGATCGATATCGCGATCGAATTTACTATCGATCTCACTACCGATCTCACGGTCGATGTCATTGCGGATTTCACTCAATCGACTTGAGTATCGGTCTCACTATCGATCTCAATATCGACAGATCGCCCCCGCTAACGATCCCACGATCGATCTCGCGATCGAACTTACTATCGATCCAGTACCTATCTCATTGTCGATTCCACGATTCCTGTAACTATTCAGTTTCTTGTGCACCTCAACCCCACGATTCATCATCGATCTCATGGTCGATTTCACTATGCATCTCACTCACCCGATCTCACCATGGACCCCATTATCGATTTAACCTTCGATCTGACTATCGA